TCTCTTTGCTCCACCACGAGGCCCTGCGCTAGATGAGTGGTGGGTGAAGCGGGTGGTTACATGGCCTTTGAGTGATATTGTGCTGTCATGATCTTTTATTAGGCACAAATTCGCCCCATTCCCTCAGCTCCCCTGAACCGGGCAAGCAATGACTCCAGGCGGCGCATGAATACCTTTCTATGACCCGACGACGTCATCTGTAGTACTGGCAGAGGCAATGGTCTCCTTGATGACTGGATAGTGGCATATACCATTGACGCCACGTCCTACGCAGTGACCAAAACGGTGATGCCCCTTTTCCGCTGTCATTGCTAGACAGACCCCGGGGTGCTTAGAGTCTGGACTCTTGGGGTCCCGTTTCATGCTGTTTAGTTTGCAGACGATCCTCTCCTCCGTGAGATTAAGCAATCTCGGGGTTAAGCAATCATTTGCGGAGGATAAGGGGGACACAGCAATATCCACTGTGTTCGATCGTTGTCAGTACTCCATCCTTCAACCCGACTGGATGAATGAGTCTGAAGACCAGGCCTCAAGGACGTCTGGCATGTACGGTTCGGAAAAATGTACGTAGTCGGCTTTATACCGTGGAACCTACGAGCCATAGATAGTAAATTTTAATGTGCGCTGCGTGCACTCGAGCTGCAGCGATGCATCGAGTCGTTTCTGGTTTACGAGGCATGGTTGCCTAAGGCTTGTGGGGTCACATGCTCTAGTCTCTACCAACTGATTATTTCATTGTCTAGTATGCTGATATGGAGGGTATGAAGTATACTATACGCATAGTACATCAGGGTCTACTTAGTATAGGATTAGAAATAACTGAAGCATCTGCTCATCTGGCACTTCTATTAGTACTACCACTACTGTACTAAGTAACTTCCGGTATATATTTCCAATTAGTAGGCGCTAGTATATAGTAGTAGAATACATGCACCCCCCTGGTCAACACCTCCTGAATACAGTAGTCATCATCATGGATTACTAAAGTCTGATTGCAATATATTATGTTATTACAAACAAATTACTTCATAATGTCCATTGTGGGCTAGTACTAAGACTCTGAACCTGAGGATGCATGTCGATGTTGATCACTCTCACTTAACCGGGCGGTGAGCCTCAAATCGCCGCAGCTTTGCAGGAACAACAATCAAGACCAAGCTTATGGATCGAAGCAACAAGATCCTCTTTGCAAAAACTAGCCAACTGCACATCAAGGACCAAAGGGATTTCCTTTTAATGTGTTCATAATTGTGATCCCCTTCCGCGCATATTCCTATACGAACTCCCCGACACTCCCACACCAGCGACATGGCAAGCTCGGCCGCAAGCGGGTTGAAGTACCTTTCCAATGCGCTAGCAACACCAGAGCAGCTAACAAATTCATCATCATCAATCGACGGTGTGCCTGTTGATCTAGAAGCATCTGTCCGATTTGCGGGCGCGCAGCTCACACAAACAGCGGGGGTTCTGTTACGATTGTCGCAAGACATCATCGCGCAGGCCATTGTGACATTTACCCGGTTCTGGATAGGCTCGGAAGGTGGCAGTCTACGAATATACTCGGTAAAGGTATTCAGAGTCGCTATTTTCTCTTCGAGCGAAGTAGCAAAGGTACTGATAGATCATTTTCTCCTAGGATGTATCCGCCGCAGCGCTGTACATGACTGCCAAGTTATCCTTCCAACCCACCTCTCCCCGCTCGGTGCTAAACGTCTACGCTTTTCTTCTGTCGAAAGATGCGTCGCCATTGTGGTTCATAAACCCCAAGGGGTCGCCAGACAAGGCAATGCCAGAAGAATACCACCTTACGGAAGGCAATTATCACACACAGCGACTGATTCTGCTGCGCATTGAGTCGATCATTCTACGCACGTTGGGATTCAATACGCATGTGGCTCTCCCTCATACTATCGCCTTGACCTACCTCCAGACCCTTGGCGTTCCATCCTCTGCCGTTGCTCACAGAGTATTCGAGCATCTCAACTCAGCGTTGCTGTCGCCGCAGCTGTTATACGTTACGCACCAACCGAACGCCCTTGCCGTTGCTTCGATCTACCTCGCATCCCGAGAAGTGGGGGTCAAGCTCGTCGATGGTGACTGGTGGGAAGTATTCGACGTTGACCGGGAGGACCTTGGATTCTTGGTGGTGGGCATGAGAAGCATGGAGGGATTTGCGCGGGCGGAAATGGAAAAGTGGAAGGGCCTGAGGGTACCCATGACAGTGGACGAGCTGGAGGGTGAGATAGAACGCAGAAGAATGATGGAAGAGGGTGAGTGAGAGCTACACAGCATGCAAGACAGTTCTATCATGCGGGCGCAGCTGGCTTGAGGAAGAGCCCGGTTACAGGCCATAAATGTTCCAAAACAAAAGTATCTGGAACACAAAAAGGGCCATGCTGGATCCGATATGATCAGATATCGGAGATAGCAACCAGCCTTCCCGAGAACCCGTGGGCGCAGAAAACCCCGCCACTCGAGTGACAGGGCCTCTTTTCCTTCGGAGGTTGCCATAACCCCTTTAGATGGCACAAGAAGGGACGGACCTACGTAATGATTTGCGGGTAAAACCGAGCCCGGCCCTTCTGCAAGTCCGCAATCATCTACCAGAACACTGAGTATAAACCAGATGAATAAAGGAAAGTCCAGTGACTGGCAAGCCACATGGTTAGCGATGTAGTAGTATGATCTCCGGGAAGAAAGTGTTCCAGTCCAGTAAACCCATCTAAAAGTGTGTTGCTTTTGGTGGATGACGGAGCCTCAGCCACCTGATGTACCCCGCGTGCATCGTCCAGGGACTCCGATAAGTTCGTCACCGCCACAGCCAAATCCCATTCCCTCCATCCCCATCATTCCCTCTCTCCTCTTTAAATCTTCCTGTAGATAAGCTTCCCTCCCCTCCATTTCATTTGTATATCATCTCCTGACCTCACCCTTACCAACTCTACCAACAGCCCCTTCTAAATAACCCAAGAAAGAAACGAAACACCAACCAGACAGACAAGCAAGCAAGCAAGCAAACAACTAAAGCAATGAACATCCTCCACTCCACCCTCTCCACCTGGCGAGACCGTCTCGCCCCCGTCTCCCGCACCTCAACCTTCCGAACAACCGGCCAGATCACCCCGGAAGAGTTCGTCCTCGCAGGCGACTACCTAGTCTACAAGTTCCCCTCCTGGTCCTGGGCCGATGCCGCAACCCCCGCAAAGCGTGTCTCCTACCTTCCGCCCGGAAAGCAGTTCCTGGTCACCCGCGGCGTGCCATGTCACCGACGGCTAAACGACAACTTCGCCGGGGACGCAGGCCACGAAGACGAGATTGTCCGGGGCATGCTAGCGGGCGAGGGTGACAACGATGACGATGGTTGGTTGCGGACGGGAGGCGGCGATAACGCAGCATCGTCGTCATCATCTGCACGGATCGGAGATGTACGCACGGTCGACGAGGCCGGGAATATGGGCGAGGTAGAGGAACCAGAGGAGGATGAGATTCCGGATATGGAAGATGAGGATGATGATGAAGAGGCGATTATTCGGGAACCGGTGACGGGGACGACGCAGTAAGTTGACCCCCTCCTCTATCTGCAACATCAAGTAATCCGCATCAACGAAGCTAATAAATAAATAATCCCAAACAGACCAACCCGCACCTACAACCTCTACATAACCTACGCCAACTTCTACCGCACCCCACGCCTCTACCTCTCCGGCTACCTCTCCGCATCTGAACCCCTCCCGCCCCAACTGATGATGGAAGACATAGTCGGCGACTACAAAGACAAAACCGTCACCCTCGAAGACTTCCCCTGGTTCGAAGGCAGCGTAAAGATGGCGACCGTGCATCCATGCCGGCACGCCTCCGTGATGAAGACCCTCCTGGATCGCGCCGACGCAGCGCTCAAGATCCGTCGCGATAAGCTCAAGGCCGCAGCCTCAGCGCACGCAGAGCCTGATGCGAAGGTCGCTGCTGGAGCGGGCGGGTTGGAAGGGTTAGTGGATGATGTTAAGGGACTGTCGGTGAGTGAGGGACATGGCGGCCAGGGGCAAGCAGGTGGTGGAGGTGATGAGTGGGAGATGCTGCAGCATGATGAGGAGGATCAGGTTGCCATTCGCGTGGATCAGTATCTCGTTGTGTTTTTGAAGTTCATTGCTAGTGTTACGCCGGGGATTGAGCATGATTTTACCATGGGGGTTTAGATAACTGACTGGCGGACTGGCTTGAGAGGACCCGTCTCCCTCTTTCCTTCTTTCTTTCTTTTCTTTCGTTATTGGGTTGCTTTTCTTCATTGTTTTGTTTTGTTCTGTTGTTGTTGGTTTCGGGGTTTTCTTAATACGGGATCATGAGCTTGATTTTACACTTTATCTTCATCCGTCTTTCTGATTCTGCTTTCGTTTCTTGTCCCTTATTCTGCTCTATTGGTGGCCATGCAATATCTCTCCACCTTCTCCCTCTCCCCCCCTCTCCCTCACCCCGAAGGTCCCCATGCACTGGCGCGAGGAAACAATTATCGATGTTTATTATGAGACATGAATATGATATCACGAGACATTAATGCAAGATATTCTTATTTATTTTCTATATATTCCTATTACACTGAATATCCATGATAATAAGAAAACCAACTGTAAATAATAGTAGTAGTACTAATACAACCCAAAGAACATTACAAAGTTCATATGCTAACCCAGTGATTCAGAAAAGAGAAAGAAGAGAAGATGAATGAGAGGGAATGAAAGGGGACAAAAACCATCCAGTCAAAATCAACAAGCAATAGACACAACACAGTGTTTCCAGTTAAACTAGAATCACTCTGGGAAAGAATTTGTATATCGAAGGGAAAAAATATATGGGATTTGGGGGAGGGGGTAGGGAATGAATGATGGTGATTGACAGAGGGAACTTTGGGGGATGATGGGGCAGGGGCAGTGGCTGGGGAATTCATGAATGAGAGTTATGGATAGAGGCAAAGAAAGTGAAGGGGGTGATGGGAACGTATGTCAAGCTCACGCAGGGCATTGACAGGTGTATGCAGGCAATGCTGGAGCAGCTGGGGAAGGGGTGGGTATGATTTTGGGCTCGGATGCAGGCTCGTGGTCAGGTTGGGGTTGGAGTTGGGGCTGAGGCTGGGGCTGGGGTTGAGTCTCCGGTTGAGGGCTTGGTGTAGGGTTGGGCTGAGGTGCAGGGGTAGGCTCGGGGGCAGGAGATGATTCTGGTTGTTCAGGGGAAGGTTCATGTTCAACTGGAGGCTCAGGCTGTGGCTCAGGCTCAGGTGCTGGGCATTCTTGCACTGGCTCTTCACGTTCTTCGGTCTCAGCAGGAGGAGCCGGCTCGGTGGGGGTAGACGGAGCTGGGGGTGCAGGGAGTGCAGTGGTAGGGGGAGCAGCTGGCGGAGTAGTGGTTGGAGGAGCAGGAGGAGCAGTAGTTGTAGGAGGAGCAGGGGGAGCAGTGGTTGTAGAGGGAGGAGGAGGGGGTTGGGTAGTGGTGGTAGTTGTAGTAGGAGGGGCAGGAGGGGCAGGAACATAAGTCTCAATAGGAGGGTTGACTGGCGGAGGTGGAGGGGCCGTTGTGGACTCTGGGATGGTGGTAATGAAAGTAGTCGAGGGCTTTGGCCGTGGCTTTTCAGATTCTTCATAGTTGTTACTGAAGTAGTTGCCCAAGTTGACGCTGGGACCACCCGGGATGCCGATATTCATCGAGTTCCCTGCGTTGGTGTTGCTGGACTCGCTTGAGCCCTCATCGTCATCCATGTCGCCCCCACGGTCTTCGCGATATGCGTTCGAGGCGAACTGGCCAGAGTTGTAGGATGGGCCATCAGGGATAGAGAAGCCCATGTTAGAACCGGACTGGGTGTTGGTATTGAAGTGGTGGCTCTGTCTTCGCACAACGGCTCCATCCTGCAGTATGTGTTAGCTTCGCTGATGTGTAAGCTTGAATGCAAGATTGAGGTCTAACATACTCCAGCAGCGACAGGTGCAGACAGGACGGGAGCGACAGCCAGCACGAGGCATAGCAGTGCCGGAAGGCTCTTGAGGTTGTACATTGTAGAAGGAAAAGAATGTGACGTAATTATCAAGAGAAGGAAACTATGGGAGTTGAAGGAGCGAATAACCAAGTTAGAGACAGACAGGGCTGGAATGAGCTGTGGAAGAATGAACGCTGTGATCTGCAGCGGATGAATGCTCTGATGAAAAGAATGTCAGCATGAGATTTTGGCCTTCTTATACCAAAAGACAGACACTCCGTCCATTGCGGTATACAAGGGTTCCAAGACCCTATCTAGGACATTATCCCTCAGCATAGGGCCAGCCGAAGGGCCATGCAAGGCCCACGAGACAATGCCGCCGATAGTCACGGTGACCTCATGGCGAGGAGGACCTAGCCACTCTCCAGGAGATAGCCCCTCCGAAGGGGGACATCCCTGTAGCAGTTATTGAAGCAGTGTCGAGGTTGAAAGGGAACTGGGATGATAAGATAGGGAGGGATGGGGGCTCGACCGGGTCGGGGGCGGACGCAAGGAGAGCAGAGCCTGTTCGACCACATGTACACAATAGTACTGCAAAGAACCACAATTGAAAGAAAAACCCCCTGTTCTCAGAAAGACTCCCGTAGCTTTAATATTTACACATAAGTGTCCGATGCATATGCAAAGAGATAAATTCCGTCATATTCGTCAGTCATGGTATCCATCCAAAAAGATAATGGCCCATCCCGTAATCTGGGGTCCATCGTAACCATAGTCCAAATGTGGCTATGAGCTTATGAGGTTAACATCCACAACAAAATATCTGCGACCGCACGATAATCCTTCCCTTCTACCCTACACCTTCCCACAGTCCGAATTCCCAAAAGCCGTACCAAAGTTCGTCGTATTCTTGAACCTTAATTTGGGCTCATCACCCTGACTCGGGGGCTCGACTTCAGCCTGTTTCTGATCAGTGCTTCGGGGATAGCCAAGGGCCTGCTTGACCTGGTCCAGAAGCTTCTGATCAAGCTCCTTCAGAAACTCACTATCATGCTCTTCCTCATTCAGCAAGGTAAGTGGCCCCTTCAGGGCAGGGTCATCCGCCAAATCCCCAAAGTACGAGTCGGAGTTTTCTGCAGGTTGCCGAGGCGCTTCCGAAGCGAGGGGTTCCTCCTCGTTCGCGGTCTCCTGGGGTGACGGCTGCTCCGTGTCGACGTCCCGATCGATCCTAGCCATGGGTGTGTGACCGGCGTTCCTGGTCAGGTTAAACTCTGGGGGCCCAAGTTCAGACAGTTTCAGTTTGAGGCTGTTGCGGTGCTCAGCAGAGGGTCTGGAAGAAAGTGATGGAGAGCCCTCGAGGGATGGTGGCGATGGTGGCGTAATTACTCGAGCGACAATTTCTGGCGGCAAAGCCGAGGACTTGAGCGTGATCCCGTCAAGTTTGCTATCAAGCCTCTCAATTGGGACAGGCACGCATGTGCTCGAGGTCAAGTCAGTCGCATGGGACTTAGGTGAAAGGGCAGCGTCCAAGGATGGCGCAGAGACCGATGGATTGCCTCCTTGCTCCGGAAATAGGAGACCTGAGAAGTCCGTCTTCTCCGCGTTAGGGAATACCCTTGTGGGTTTGCTTCCAGGGCTAGAGCCTTCCCACACTTGGGTACTTGTCGGGTGAGAAGAATCAGTATGTTCTGCCGAAAGTGGGTGACTGAATTGGCTGTGAAATGCAGATGATGATGATGATAATGCATAATGTTGAAAAGTGCCGGTCGGGAGCGCGGCTGTACTAGTAGCGGCGGTCCCTGTGGATCCCCTACCCTTGAGCAGCGACTCTAATTCAGAGATCCTCTGGTTTAGTAGCGCACGTTCATTCTCCCATAGATGTCGTTCCTCGTTGAATAGCTTCCTCTCATGCTCGAAGTTTGCCCGCTGGCGATCGAGGAGCGACCGTACTTGTCTTAGGTACTCGGCGCTTACAACTGAATAACTGGCTGCTTCTATATCTGGGCCGCCAGTATAGTTTGACCTCGAGTCGAGATGGGTGTCTGGTACTGACTGTGTTCGACGGACGGGAGTTGGCGTAGGCGAAAAGCGAACCTCCTTGTAGAGGCTCCCACGACCATTGGGGGACTTTGTAGCGGTGGCTGGCTTCATTTTGAGACTATTGGAGTTGCTGAGACACTCCCGGGGCAGGTTGGGTCGGGTGGATTCCCTTCATAAAGAGGCGAGAATATGAGAGAGAAAAAGAGAGAGAGAGAGAGAGAGAGAGGGGTAAGGGGAAGGCGAAAGGAGCGAACAATTGGCGAAATAGTCACAATGTGAAATGAATTTAGTTCGGTACTAGCTAAAACATCAGCCGAGCTAGATACAGCAGCATCACAAGTGATGATCGCGCGTGGAGCGACTGAATGTCATTTAAACAGCGGGTAGGAGAGTAGAGGGAGGGACAAGTAAGAACCGGGGAACCACACCGACCGGGTAACCTACCAGTGGCAAATAAGATGGGGAACGGTGGGGGAGCTTAGTTACTACTTAGTTGTCCGGAGTGGGCAATCGAGCGTTGATAAGCCACCGGTGCCTGAAGCAGAGTTTCAATCCGCAGGGCGAGCAACTTCGTGCGTCGTGGACCAAAGACGTTGTTGCTGGTAGCAGCCTGCGACCACAAGAGAATGGACAAGTGGACGATGCGCTTGACTGCAGACTGCAGCGCGAAAGGCACACAGCATTTATCAGGCGGCGGGAGAGCCTGTGAGCAACAAGCCTGCAGGACGAAGAGATTAATTATTATGCCAATCTTCTCTCAGACCGACTGAGGTGAGAATTGATGACAGGATGGGAAGAAGATCCACCCAAATGCGGGGAGGGCCAAAAGAAAAATGGAATCAATAGAAGGGATATTACTACTCACTACTAACACTTATTACTTGATATACCAGGAGATCAAAGTGCTCAGTGGTTCGATATCAGACGTGGGGGGTTAATAGCAGGCCGATATCTTCCAGGACCAGACAGGGAAGCAAACCAGGGTAGGGAAACAAAGCAGGAGGGAACAGAAGAAAGGGAACAATAAGAGGAAGAAGAGAAAGAAAAAGAAGAAGAAGAAGAAGAAGAAGAAGAAGAAGCGTGGGATTGAAATGTAATTTGGCTGCTTTCTTCAACCACCAAAAGGAACTTGAGGCCGACGATCACGAGGCAGACCATGACGTTATTGCTTGGATGCGCAACAGAAGCAAACAGTCAGTCTTTCTTTTCCTGGGGTTTCATCTCCATATTCGGCTCATTTCTTCTTCATTCCCCCTAGCCTTCACACCAAGTAGTCAGGTCTTCTTCCTCTTCTTCTTCGTCTTCCCCCTCCTTCTAGGCTATGATTTCATGGTCCAGGCGGGTCAATGAATCCCCATCATCTGGTACGTCCAGCAGACGGACCGATCTGAAGCTAACCCACTACACTAACCGTGCGGGCGGCAACGGTTGCTGCTGCCCGCTGCAAGTCGCCCATGCATCTACCAACTATGATCATGCTACATTTCCTAGCTTGCAGGAATAAGAAAATGACCAGAAATGACGCTGATTCAGAAAGCTCTATCCGTAGTAGGAAACATGACGCTTGAAAAAAACAGAACAAAACGAAGAAGACCCTTCCAAGAATGCAAAACCTATCGCTTCCCGCCCGTTTGCGACCAAAACACCCATTCTCCGTGCTCATGCTCATCCCCCCACCCCCAAACCTCCAACGTGACATTCCGAAATGATTGACAATCAAAGAGTGGAGTACCTCAAGACTAAGACACTCTACTGCGCAGTGTGTGCACATATTAAACTCTCTTCGCACCGATCTCCCTAAACGTCATCCTGCAGATAATAGTCCCAGTGGGTATCTGATCGGAAGGAGGAGGAAACCGCCCCCCCCCCCCCCCCCCCCCCCAAGTCGGAAAAAGTAAATGGCAGGACAAGTGAGACAAAGTATTACTAATGTAGACAAATAGGAAGAAGAGGAGATGATCCTGACCAAAAAAAATCATAACACCCGGTTCCTATGCGATAGAGAGCTTCATCTGTGACGCCCGCGTCTCAGCCTGAAGCGATTTCTTTGCATCGTCCATAACATGTCGATGCATCGACGGTAGTGGAAAGAAATGGAGATCCTTGTGCAAAGCTCCAAATATCGTCGCCAGATACCAGATACCCCGAGCGGACGATTCCAGATTCCCTACTGCAGCAGAAGGGAAGTAGAAGCGAGGATCTAAGTAGAACATGGTACTTGTCCAGTTCGGCAGCTTCTCCATCAACATGCGAGCGGCTGCTTTATACTCCTTTAATGTCCGCTTCGGCACGCCTGTTTGCGAGTGGACAAAGAAGAAAATCTCGAACCCGACGCTGCGGATGCGCTTGCGCGCCGTGGGACTGATTGTGTCAAGGAAGGTGCCCAAACGGTCAAGATTGAACGAGTTCAAGAAGAAGAGGGTATTCTGCGAATACACGAAATCCTCCACCTCATCGTGGATTTGCCGGTTCACGGAAAGTAGGCTGCGAACTCGACCGTTCTCACCCACCCAGCTGGGACACATCGAGAGAGCTCGGTATCGGCCGCGGGCAGTGAAGACGTTCCCGCGGTCGTTGATCACGATCATCGGACGATCCGTGAATTCGTTTGGAACGACCAGCGCATATTCGTAGATCATGAGACGAAGCTCCAGAGGCAATTTGAGAAATGGCGATGGTTTGGTTGAATTCGTCTGGGGAGCATCCACCCAATGCTCCTGTGGTCGTGGGATTCCCATTGTGAAGAGACAAGAAGTAGTATGTACTAGCTCACGCTAGCTAGTGGGTTCGTTCGGAGTCCGTCGACGAAGGAAGCCAAACAGAGATCCACTTCAGATCGAATCACTCATAGTACAATAGTACTAGCACATAGAATAGATCAGATGTGCAACTCCGTCTATGGTTAAGTAGTAGCGTATTTGCCAACGCCGCAAGAGGAGTAAGTACTAGTATATAAACCCACTCCACAACGTCAGCTCCCACGCAAGGAGAGAACCCCCAGTACGTAAGTAGCAGTAGTACTAGTAGTAGACAAGATCCAACGTTTCACCACAGAACCACTGGCCCAATAGTTAGTAGTATACTACCACCACAGGGCAAGCAAGTGACAACAACAACCGAACAACCGATGATCAGGCTATCACTGCCCAGGACGGATATTGCTATAGATGTTGTCTCACCATACCATGAGGTGATGGATATGTAGTAAGACCACAGCACAGCAAGTAGTAGTACTGATTTGACTTCCAGAATCCTTCCAAAGCAGAAGAAAGCCACTCAGCAAGCAAGCAAGCACGTCAATAAGTACCAGCTAATGAGGGCAGTATTCCTCCGAAAACCGCTAGAGTGTAACGGCTAAAAGCCAGTAGTGTTGGGGTCAATGAGCTAGTACCGTAGCTCAATAAACCTGCAGAATTGACCGGGCTATAGATAACCGAGGGTATATGTGAGTAGAGGAGTCGAGTCGAGTGACTTGAAACCAATGTAATTGGGGGGGAAGGTGGGCGTGTGATGAGAAGGAGGGAATTGAGGGGAAGTTTTGAGGGTCACAAAAAATATCAGACCACCTCTTTCCAGTTCCAAAGGATTGATCCCTTTCTCTTTTGTCTTTTCATGTTTAAATAAAGATATTCGCCTCATTTTGGCATGGATGCGAAAAAAAGTTTTTTTTTTTTTTTTTTACTTGAATGAAACAAACCACGTTACTTCGGACCGAGAGCCAGCCAAGTCGGAATGGAAAATTGACTTTTTTACCACCTTTCGTCTGTTTCTTTTAACTGACAAACTTTATCCTTCCTCCTTCGTTCAGGTTTCCCCTTTCTATGCTTTCGGGTATGGCCGTTCGGGGTGGTTCCGTAGTACTACTTACTAGTACTACTATACCGTTGCCTGTCTTGCCTCTTACAAATAATGAATGATTTCTTATGTGTTTACTGTTGTATAGTCAGTGATGTCATTAGACATATACATAGTATAAGAATATATCAGAAGATATGCACTCTATGTAGTACTGTAAGCTGGCATGATTCAAGAATCCATCGTGTTCTGCCTGCCTCTGATGCAATGACGGGATTGAGGAAGTGGTTTAGGCTTCTTCCGGGCCGGTTTTGGGATTCGCCACCGGGGGCTCGCATGACATACAATGCACATACTAATTCGAGATTTGAGAGGGTGAGTTGTGTGAAAGTCTGGTAGTTTGTACGACTACTATTCAGTATGATTGAGGGTTTTTTTTACTGGTATATTTACTACTTACTAGTTCAGGTAGGACTTGCAGTTACTATTTATTATTATTACTGAGTAGAACCGGTCTGTGATCTGGAATATACTTTTGTTGGGATGTACGGATACTACTAGGAGTAGTAATGATTGTAGATGTTATTTCAACCCGAAATAGTAGATGATTGCATTATATGACAATGATGATGATGATGATGCTGTTTGTTATCTGCTTCACTACTCTATTTGCTTCTCTTTGGTCTCCTAAAACAAGAGCAGTATGTATATCTCAAGTACGCCGATAAACACCAAGTAACCATGCAGCTCGCAGCACAGCCAGTCCCCAAGCCATGCCGATGCTATCCCGGATTACATTCAACTTGCTGCCCTTGACCTCTCTCCATCCAACGGGCACCTCGGCCACGGGGATGTCGGCAAATTCGGCGAGCATAAGCATCTCCACGTCGAAGATCCATCCCTCGGAGTGCATATAAGGAATAATGTACGGCAGCGACGCCCGGGAAAACAGTTTGAATCCACATTGCGTATCCTTGATAGTGGCCGTCTTGGAGGGGGTCAACAGCCGCAGGATCAGATGGAATGAATGCATGAGGAAGTTGCGCAGTTTCGAGCGCTGTATGGGAATCATCGGTTAGTGAAGTCGGGTATAGAGGAAGCATATGTTAGAGCATACCTTGACTACAGCTTCACTTCCCACCATGTGCGCCCGAGATCCAACGGCCACTCCGCGTCCTTTCGCGTCCTCGGTTTCCTGGCAGGCCGCGACAAGCTTTCCAAGATCCTCGAATTTGCTCGCTCCGTCGGCATCTGCAAATACAACATACTGGCCGCGGACATGTCGCATGCCGTGGGTGACGGCTCCACCCTTGCCCCTGTTCTCTATCAGGCACACCACCCGGATAGTGCCCGGGGGAATGCGGACACCCTCATGCGTCCCCGGAGTCCAAGGGCCGGCGTAGCCCTTGGGGTGCATTGAGAGTTGATGATCACGAGCGAATGTGAACGCTATGTCTTCTGTCTTATCCTTGGAGCCATCGGAGACAATGATGATTTCCCAGCCCTTGTTGTCATGTACCGGACGATGAGTCGCAGAGCCATTGGTGTGCCCATTGGCCTGTTTCCGTTGACGCACTGCCTTTTCCGCCGTAACGGTCTCAGCGCCATTGGCAGAGTTGGTTACCGTGCCATAGACCTTTTCCAGGTAATCCACTGCTTCTTCCAACATGCCCGCCAGGCGGTCTTCCTCATTGTATGCGGGTACTACCAATGACATGAACAAGTCGGCTTCCTCCATCGAGGTGTGGTCGAGAACCCGACCGGGGCGTTTTTGAGCGTCTAGGGCATCTTGCCAGCAAGGTAAATCGAGGGGCTCCGTGATCGATCCATTCTTCAGGAGCGTACGATATTTCTTTTCTTCAGGGAACGGCTTCCGCGGGACCGGGGCAACGGTGTACAGAGTGATGTAGAACTAGACAGGATAAGGACCGCTTATTAGCGCTACTGTTCTAATAGCGTGGCCAACCAAGGGCACCCCAGCTTACGGAGGAGCCAGAGGCGCAACAGTAAACCCGAGGATCAATGCAAATCTAAACATACCAGGACGGACAGTCCAGCGAGAGTTGCGACCAGGGTAACGAGGAGGACCGAGAGCGGAACGTTCGCCAGGAGCTCGGCGCAATGACCGCAGGTACCGAAGAAGGCACCTTCAGCCATGATGTTGAGTCTTGAAAGAGCAGGGGGTGGTAGGGACGTCGGGCGAAGGGACAGATGGCCTCGAGCGGATGAAGATAATCGCGGACAGGCAGCGGATGGAGAGGGGAAGTGAGCTTCAAGTGCTCAACGGGACAGAGACGATCCGATCTTGGCCAGCCATGCGACACGGAAGCTGTCTTGAAGGATTGATCACCTCACTAACATGG